AGACTTAAAATGCAGGGTTCTGAATCTCTGCCAAAGACTATCAACAACCTCCACTTGTATCTCTATGACACCATGGGATTACAGAACCATGACAGGTCTGTCAGATTTTAGCCACTCAGAGAATCTGGCATGACCTTGTGTAGTGGAGGCTGGCTGGTACCCACCTAATCTGGTCTCACTCCCCTCCACAAACTGGACAGGGGAGAGAAAATGTAACAAAAAGTATAACAAAATTTATTAAATTTATCTCATGGCTTGAGATAATGATGGGGAGGGATCACTCACTAAATAGGGCAATGGACGAAACAGACTCAACATAGAGATTTGGATTAAATTTATTACTAAATAAAATCAGATCAGGATAATGAGAAGTAAAATAAAACATTAAAAACACCTTTCCCCTACCCTCCCTCCTTCCTTGCTCTACCTCCTTCCCCAGTGGGGCAGGAAGACAGAGAACAGGGGTAATGGTCAGTTCACCCACTGCTCAGGGAGAGGAGTCCTTCCTGTGCTCTGCAGTGGGGTCCCTCCCACAGGAGACAGTTCTCTGAGAACTTCTCCAGCATGAGTCCATGTCATGAGCAGCAGCTTCCTGCGAACTGCTGTAATGTGAACCCATCCCACAGGCAACCATCCTTGCCAAACTGCTGCAGCGTGGGTCACTCTTCCACGGGGCGCAGTTCTTGAAGGACAGGCTACTCCAGAGGGGGCTTCTCTCTCCATGAGTCTCCCACGGGGTCACAGCCTCCTCTCAGGCACCCACCTGCTCTGGCATGGGCTCCTCCATGGGCTGCACGTGGATCTCTCCATCCCCTTGGTCCTCCATGGGCTGCAGGGGCACAGCTGCTTCACCATGGTCTGCACCACAGTATGCAGTAGAATCCCAGTTTTGGTGCCTGGAGCACCTCCTCCCCCTCCTTCTGCATTGACCTTGGTGTCTGCAGAGTTTTTCCTCTCCCATATTGTCACCCCACTCTTCTCTGGCCACAATTACAACTGTGTAATAATTTTTTTCTTCTTTCTTCTTAAATCTGCTATTACAGAGGCATTACCACCATTTCCAACTGGCCCAGTCTTGACCAGCAGCATGTTCCTCTTTGGAGCCACCAGGAATTGGCTCTACCAAACATGAAGGAAGCTTCCAGCAGTTTCTCACAGAAGCCTGTAGGCCCTGCTACCAAAAACCAGGCCATGTACACCTCTTCATTTGGCAATTATGTGTTAACTTGCACAATTAATTCTTCAAAATTACATGTATTGTTTCTTTTTTCATCTGCAGACATACAGCCAGATTCTTCCTTCCATTGCAGGTCAGTATGTTTAATTTAAAACGCTTTATTACAGAAATGTTGACTTTCTTATGAATTAAGTTTGGACATCTGGACTATCTTAACATTCTCATTTGCAGCATGTACCTTGGAAATATAATAATTTAAGTATATAACTACTTACCTTTCCAGTGCTTTGATGTTCTTGGTCCAATTATACCTTGTACCTCAAGCAGTCTGTCTAGGCAAATATAAAGGCACTATTAGTGACTGGGGGTTTATCTGGTTCACACCAAAGCCTATGCTCTGATAGCACCAAAAGAAACCCCAGCCTCTTTTCTCCTCTGAAACCAGGCTGAGGACAAAGAGGATTTTGCATCTGTGGACTGTCTTCAGCAGATATGAGTACCATTGGCTCCTGAAGACCAAGGTTTGGTGGCCAGACAGTACTTTGTGGTTATCTGCATTACTTTTAGTGCCTGTGGCTGGATAGAAAGCCTGCATGCACACAGAGTGGCACTTCTGCTACTGTCTGGGTGTTTTCTTTCATGAAGGTTTCCTTTAACTGCTATTAAGCAGTCTTCCTGTTGGTTACAGGAGAAACCATTCAGAAAGTGCTGCATTTTTCCCTGTGTGATGATCCTGTGCTGATTAAACAGGCCAGAGTGAAAAGAGGGAAAGATATAGTTGAGATGCTGGCAGAGACAAGATGCACAAAGCATCAGAGCTGAAATCACATGGATGAAGACTGTTGGGACAAATGGGCTAAAAGTCAAAGAATGGTGAAGATGGTAGATTTGCTTAAGTGAACTTGCAGCTGGGAAAATATAGATCTTTCAAATCTGCTTTACAAACTGACAATAAAATATGATTTTGTACTTCAAACAGCAAACTGTGGTGGGTTTGAGGCTGCTGTGGTACTTATGCCTGCTACTTGCCTATGCTCTGCCTGCACAGAGCAGAGGCAACAACCTTGTAAACTATTCTTCAGCCAATGGTTGCTCCTTCCCAACCCCATCCATCTAAACTACCCATCACAGTGGCTTTCTTTTGATGCCTTTTTCTCTGTAGTGTTAGCAGGACACTACAAAGTTTTTGTTAAGAATGAGCTTAATGAGACTTTGATTTATTTAACATCTCTCTGAAATTAGGGCATCAGTAATCAGAGCGTTCTGGAATTGAACACCATGATATTTGAGTAGGACTGTACCCCTCAGCCTCCCCTCCTTCTTCTGTGGCAGGGACAGATGCACCTAATGGAAGAAATGAAGCAAGACAGAGGAGAGAGGAGAGAAAGGACAGAAGTGTTGCTCAGCTTATGCAGTTTTCATTATTCAGGAAAGGTTGTCAACCAGATAGATGAGCTGCAAATACACAATTTATTCGTTCACTTACACATGTTCCATGTTCCTCTATTTTCAGTTACTTTGTCTTTCTTTTAAGACCACACCATGTATAATCAGTTTGTGGGATCAGGAGACTGGATCCCTAAATCTTTAAAGGGTTTATTTTATGTAGAATTATAAATTACACCTGCTTAAAAAGGTTAGTAATATATGCTCTCTTAGGCATAAATAAGCCTTTAGAGAAACCAAGAAACAATGAGTTTTACAATCACTCTGAAAACACAAAATTCAGTAATTTGCAAAATGCAGCACTGTTTGTAAATTAAAAAAAAAAATCCAAGTAAAGGGAGAAATAATTTTGGGCTAATATAATTCCAGATGGAGTGTAACTCCAGTTCATGCAGTGCAACACCAGTGTATCATGTATGTAACAGCAGTACGTAGTGGAAAGTATTTCCCTTGCTTGTCCTAGAATAAAATTTTATAGATCACAGAGAAATACACTTACTGCACAGGACTCACCTAATGAGCTGCAAACTTAAGAGTGTATCATCCTAGTAGATGGAATTTTGCAAACAATAATTTTCCTCATCCTTTCTGCAAGACACTTGTGGCTCTGGGTTGTGTGTGTGAGATGTGAAAACATACTCAATGTCAGAATGGTATGTTATATACACAGTAACCTGCAGCATTAAAATGACACATCATGATCAATACCACAGCTTTTGGAACATTACCACTACATCTTGTTGCCAACAAATATTGACAGTACCATGAAAGCTCTTTGCTGTAGGTCAGAGACCTTTCCTATCTATGTACAATCTTAAGTGTACTTGAAAACCCTCTGTGAATCTGTCACATTGTGCTGTACCAAGGAGATTAGAAGAGTCAAGACCAAGAGTGTTTAACTTTGATGTCAATACTTCTAAAACCAAGAGGGCTCCTAATAATAGCAACTGCATCTGATGGACACCTGGTAAAAGAATACATTTGGCTGATCACAGTAATGCTTTGGGCTGGTAATAATGACCTTAGGGTTAGGACTGTCACACATAATGATCTCACTTGATAGTAGGTCCCTTTCAAAGAGGTGGCGACATGGTGCCCACAGGCAAACTGAAGCTCCATTGTACAGTGCTGGGCTTTTCCAGTGATATGTAGAGCAGCCATTACTGAAATGCAAGTGTTGAGATGCAGTTAAGCAAGAAACTAGCCTGGAGGTTATCACGAGTATCACTGTAAACGAAGCGTAATAGGTTATTATGACCACCTCAAAATAGTGTGCTGAAGTCTGGAATTTATTGTAACAAGAAAACCAAAAGCAAGTTTTGTAGTTGGAGAGATTCTTGGCCCTAGATCAAACCTGTTGAAGGAATGAACAGAAAACCAGAGTGCTTTCCTGTAATCTGCTTAGACTCACTGGATATTTCAAATACAAAATCCCAGCTATCACAGCTGAGCCATCCAGCTTCTTCACAAAACACAGCTATCACTGGACTTAACTTTGAAACTTACTGAGAGAGACCCTGAAAAACAGAAAAAAATTAACTCTCCTCTTCTTCAAGAGGCACAAGCCCCCTATTTCTTCAACTGAGATTTAGCAGATTAGGAATGGAGTAGAAACAGGTATTGTTTGCATATGAAATAACAAACATTTAATGAAAAAAACCTGAATTCCTATGAAAATATAGATATTCCTAAATACTTGCAGCTTCCATGCCTCGGCAAACACAATGGAGCAGATTTATAGAAAACTTACTTTCCACATGAAAAAAGTGGACTATAAGACACTTAACAACATGATGTGAACACACTGCTGTTCTCAAGGTAGAAAAGGGAAGTTTATTTTCTGACTCCAACATTTACAGATTTCCAAAGTGGAAATCAGTGGATTGGAGAGTGAAAGTGCCACCTCTCCAATGACATTGGACAAACTAACAGTCCATCCAATTTCTCCTTTTTCATAAAAGAATGCAAAACAATAAGTTGTTTACAGAAAGTGCGTGAGAAAGTTTGCTACAAGAATGCAAACATCAGAAGGCTTAGAAAATCTTAAAAAAGCAAAGCAACAGAAAAATTAATAAGAGACAGAGATCTTCAGCTGAGTGATGGTTAAATACAGAGAAGCTCCCTTTCTTACTGGACAGATATTAGCTGGTGGTCAGTCGGGAACAGGAAGAGCAGCAGAGAGACATGCTGAGCTGGGGTTCAGACCTTTTGGAACTCTAGCCACTACTTAGGTTGAGAACAAGCATTTAGAGGTTGCACCTGTTATGCTATATTCCTTTGGAAAAAGATATATTAAATTAAGTTTAAATTATAAAATATAATGTATAAATTATATTAACTTCTTCCAAAACTTCAAAAGCACCACAGAAGAAACAGCTTCTTTGGACCAAAGGTTTATTTTTAATGACACAGCACTGGAAAACATAAGTTACAGATGACTTTTTGATACAGGATATATATCTTACTTTAAAAGGTTCTGTGAAGGTATGCTGCATAAATACATATAGTGAAAATATATTGTGTTTATTTATTCTCAGAGATTAGTTCTGTTTCTTTTTGAAAATGTATTCAGCCAATTAAATAAAAACGTATAGATTAGCATCATAACAACTCCCCCCTCCAGGTTATCTCATTGTAACTACTGCAGCTGGAAGAGGAAACGGAGCCATGCCTTCTCAAAGGTTAGCGGCTTTGAACATGATGTTATTCATCACTTAAGAATGAAAATATCACATTACAAACACAGATATTGTATCATGTTTTGGCAATGGAGTAGTTAATTTTGCTTTGAACAAAACTGTTTCCTGTAATGCCAGACAATGAAAAAGCAATGCATATACTGGATGATACTACACAGCCAAAGAGCTACAATGAAGTTGTGAAAATGCATATAGCCATATGCACTTATATATACACATATAAGCTCTTGTGTATATATATTATGCATGTCCAAAAATAACACTGAAAAACGTTGCAGTAGTTAACTATCTTTTTAACACACGGAACTTGTAATAGTTTGACCTTATAACTACAGGATAATTAATTAAATCTTCTGCAGTGCAATGGAATACAATACACTTAGTGCAGAGAAGTTATGGTTTTGGTATTGAGGAAGCTAATTTCAGATTTCTTGGGAAAGGATCAAATACAGGATCACCATAGCTCTGACGAAGCACAAACAAACCTGTTGCCACATACTTGTGAACAAATAAGGACATTTCATTTTTATCTGATTTTTTTTCCCCATGTACTGTTTCAGAAATTACACCTTAACTGTTTGCATTCATGCTCATTTGATATGTTTCAACTAGCTTTGTCTTGCATCAGTGTGTAAACCATTAACAGCTTAAACAACAAAAAGGTGGGCTCCTGTGTTTCAAAGAGGTTAAAAACCTACTGACTGAGCTTCATACTACATTTGTCTGCCTGGGAGAACTACTCCAGATGGCGTGTGAAGTTCTCTGGGAAAAGTCCTTTATAACTATTTGCATCTCTGTACTGAAGCCACTCAGATTCCTTAATGCCAGTCAACCAGCCAGCCTCCTGCAAAGAAAAAGACAATCTCTTAAATTTCAGGTCTCCCATTCCTCACTATGAGCTTCAGACCTGAAGAGGTTTCAGAATAACATGGCTAAAGGATTTGGTGTTTTGGTTAAAAAGCTGCCTCTAATTTTGCACAGACCATTTTCTCTGTTCTACCAGACTACTAATTTTGTGAGACCAAGTGACTGCAAGCACATGATACAGCCTTTAGCCCATCTAAGTGGGGGAAGAATAGTTCTGAATCCTAATTTTTTCTCTCATTCATGTATCAACACTCAGAAGAAGGAACAGTTCTTGCTGTATCAGGAATTACTATCTCTAGAAAAAATGTAATTATTTTTCAAAAAGCTCCTGGAAACCTAAACCAGGACTTGACAAGCAAAATATCAACAAATCACCAGCTGTCCAAGCAAACAAAAGAGAGATTTTTTACTGGAAAGTACTGGGTTCTCTCAAGTGTGATAAATTCTACCTAGAATAAAATAATTTGGTATTTTTAAAAATGACCGATCTACTCTCATCTCACTAAGAAACTCTGTATCTTTTTCCTTTAAAGAAAAGGAACTGAAGCAAAGCCATGGCAAACAGAACTTCTAATGCTGTCATATTATTATTGTACAGATAGTACATATGCAGATAGAACAGCTTGAACAGATCATCACAGACACCATCAAATCATGATTGTGGGGTGGCTGTGTGTACTGGTGGGGGCTCCCTGCCCGCAAATAAGCATCATTACAGCAGATCCAGCTTATCTGTGACATTGACTGGGTAAGTTTAAGTGAGGCATGTGGAATATCTAAGAGACAGAGGAACTGCAGCTCTTTAGCACAGGCAGTATAGACTGTAGAAAGGAATACACAGTTTTACTGGACAATAACTTCAACACAAGTCTAATGGAAAAAGCCACTGGGTGGGACTGGTTTGCTTCAAATGGGCGTTGATGTTACCAGGTGTATTGGAATTATGGCTTTAGACAGGTCATTTTTGAAGGAGAATAAAAAATAACAAAAATGAGCCTTTATAAAAATCAACAAAGTACCTGGCAAAAGACAAAAGTATTGAGCTTTATGGTGATGTTAAACATGAAGGGGAAATATGTAATGCACAATAAATATATGAAAAGAATGGCTTCAGAAACATGAATACATATTTATTTTCTCTATCACTGCACACAATTTACTTCAATTAATACTAATGGGAATTTCAGTGCACATCAGATTTACACTTCATGGATTCACCAAGCATTATCACGTATTTAACATCTAATATCCTAGCAAAAAACAGACTAAAGTCAGAGAGCATATTTTGCTATCCTTACTGTAGTGTCCTATTCTGCAAACACTGACAGTGAAATCAACTGAACTGCCCATGAGGTAAGACAGCATAATCTGAGTAGGGATAATAGACTTCATTCCAATAGAAAGAGTTCTGTACCTGATGTAGTGTAAATATTTTGTTCTGAAATAAGTAAAAAAACCCCACTCACAAAAGCCAAGAATTCGCATCTTGAATTAAAGAAAGCACAGCTGAGAGGACCGATAATTACCTAACTTCAAACACCATCAACCAGCAAAACAATTTCAAACACAGTTCTCAGGGCTCATATATGCTTAGAGCAACAGTATTTAGGCCTGTTTTAAAATATATTCTTCTTTCAGAGCAGTGCTCTTGGCTACCTGATCAGGCAGGATCCAGTCCCCCACTTCTCAACCCCCAAATCAACTGGGAGACTTCTTACCAACACTACAGGCACTAACAGATGCCCATGGGGTGGCTGGTGCTAATAGTGTACAGTACAGTATTCTCTTTTAAAGCAGCAGCCAAAATCAACATACATCACTGCAATTCAATTTAACATATGAAATACAATTGTTTAAAAATTCACCTGAAATGCAATGTTAGAACTAAATTAGATGCCTTAAATTAAAGTATTGTTTAATTCAGATTCAGGCTTCCGAGGGGCAAAGTTATCTTTATTGGATGCACCTAACACATGAGCATGTCTAACACATAGAGCAGCATGTCTGTACCTTTAGGCTATAGGACACCAAAATTTGTGTGCATTCTCAGTGCTCTCTGTGGGTGAATTTGCATTATTTCTACAAATCACACATAAAAACTGAACATTTAGGGAGCATGTAATAAATTCTACTGGAATGTTGACAAGATGATATAGAACAGAGTTTGTAGGTATCCTCTGCCTGAAATCTTTGTGCACCTGTGTGTCACTATAAAATACAATGTAGCACAAAAAAGCCCTAAAAATATGTAGAGGTCAGATCCTCCTAACAACATGTATCTGTGACTTCAGATATAGCCAACTGTGCCATTTAGTCTCAAATGAAACTACATACAAAGGCTTAAGTAAAATCTTTGTGTTTTCTTACAGTAACATAATTTTGAATACACATTCCCATTAAATATAACCTGTAACAAAAAAAGTTGAGGCAAAGAAAAATATCAACAAAAGCAAGAACCACGTTTTTACCTGATCAGCTGTGGTCTCAGAAGGAATCACTAGCACAATATCTCCTCGTTTTAAATTAAGCTCATCACTGTTAGCTGCCTCAAAATCATGCAGAACTTCAACCTAAAGAAAAAAACACCACACATACAGATGTGATCGAAATGAAGACATTTTCTCAACAAAATTACCTGTTAAATTGAGACTGAAAAAAATATTTGTCTTTATGCAGACATGTGGCTATAGACAAGTACATTCAAATTATCATAGAATCATGGAATGCTAACAGGTTGTAATGGACCTTAACGATCATCTAGTCCCAACCTCCCCTGCCATGGGCAGAGATACTTTCCCCTACACCAGGTTGTTCAAGGCCTTATCCAACCTGGCTTTGAACACTGCCAGGGCTGGGGCATCCACAACCTTCCTTACTATTGCAATAGATGATCAAAGAGGTGAGTAATGGGAACCCTACCTGATGATTGCCTTGGAAGGAACTCCCACTTCCCAGCAGATGGGTATGCCAAAAATATCTGCCTTTCAAAGGGGTAAGCATTCAAACATTGGCAGGATCAGCATGTCATTGTAAACAGATCATTTTAAGTAAATGGTTTTATCTCCTCAAAAGATAGCTAGTCTAATTTTCTCAACGCACAGACAGCTTCACCATAACTCTGCAATTATGAAAGACAGTGGCATTGGGAACCAGACTGAAAGCATATGTTCTGCTTCTCCTTCTCTATGTCTGACCCTAGGGAGTGGGATGAAAAGCAAAAGATTAACTATGTCAGCATGTTTGAGTTGCATGATAGTGTTTACCTTTACCCTACTGTTATCTACAAAGTTTGCAGAAAATATTGAGCAATGAGAATAGACCAAAAAGAATGGCATACTTAGAGAGTGCTATGGGACTAATTAGTCTGAACTATGCAAATTATAGTAGGAAGCATGTAAAGTTCATCCATCCTCAAGGAGCTTTTCTGCTGCTCAGTGATTCTAAATGAAAAGTATTTTCAAAGAACCTTGTGAACCAGGAAACCCTGGGAGTTTTGCCAGCCAAGGAAAGAACTTCTCTTAGGCCTCATTATTTTTTTCTGTTTGATTACCCTAATAGTTTATATTATTACTAAAGTTTACTGAATGACATTTTGGCTTCATTACCATTATTTGTAGCCATGGGTTTCAAGAGAATCAGCACTTCCACTACAGATTTTCAGGCCAGAAAAAAAAGCAATTTTTTTAATGATCATAGAATCATAGAATGGTTTGGTTTTGCAAGGGACATTAGAGATCAAATATATTGTTAGCATATCAGATATAGAATTAGCATAGATCAACAATATTCCTGATTAAGGAAAGACCTATGTAGCAGTGCAGTTTTATTCCATATATTAATTTCCAGCAGTCATTTGGTGAGATTCAAGTGTTCTTGTACTTCAATGAATCTTACAGCTACATAAGGATAATGCCAGCAACAAGCATACAGAGAATGTATCTTCTCAGAATTTATTTATGAAGCAACAACACAATATTACACTTGTAGTTGCATGTATTGTGTGTGCATGTGGTTGATAAACTAAGTATCCTTTGCTCTCAACAAATCATGGCACTACCTGTGCAGACAAGACACATCCACAGGAAGCTAGGGATATCTAAAAGAAGAATAGAGAAGCAGACCTTATAGAGAAAACCAGGTGGCATTGCTGAAGCTGCATCTTCTGCTGGAACAGGCTGATCCTGAGAAAGTACAACCTGGATTTCTTCAGCAGGTTTCTGATCATTTCCAGATTGGGAAGTTTCACTGAGAGAAGTGTCAGTGACCTGAGCACCCATCTCTGTTGTGGCATTTTTGGACTCATTCATGATGACTTTGTGTTCTCCCTCCCCCTCGTTGTTTGATGCTGGATCTATTACTACAGAAGGGATGCTGCTGACCTTTTCCTGGGGGAAAAAAAACAAAAAACAACCCCCCCACAGAAAAGAAATACAAAACTATTTAATACTTTATTTCAAGCAGGAAAACACAATTGTTTGTTTATTGCATAAGGCATATATGGGGATGAGAATTTCTTTTTTTCTGTACCATGAATTCTTAAGACAGAAAACAGTATTTGTGCAAGAATGTCAAGGAATAATCCCCTACCTGTTATCACTGCTCCCCTTAGTCCTCCTAAACCTAAATACACATTATTGCACTAAATGATAAAAATATGTAAATACACATTATTGCACTAAATAATAAAAAAATCTTTGTAGGTAGCTTGGGCTTCATTTTCAGCATTCCTGGAAATTATTAGACCTGTTTCCTTCACTCCGCTCTTTAATTTCAGCAGGTTTGAGTGAAGCCAGTAGTTCCAGTAGTCACTGTACTGTTTTTATTTGGAAATTGAAGTCAGCAGGATAGAAGGTGATGAAAGAAGGAAATATGACCTATTTCTTTGACTGAAGGGACCTCTCCTGATTTAAAACAATGTAACTGGGAACAGAGAAAGCAAAAAATCTAAGTAGCATCTGACCAATCATGAATCCCAGTAAAAAAACATTTAACAAAACTTCTTGTAGCTTCCAACCTGAAAAAAAACATGTTCATAGATCCTCTTCCAAACCATCTTATCCTGGAGCACAGATGAAATAGAATATGCAATGAAATCAGGTGGTAACTGGCTGCCCAGCTACAGGGTCTGCTCTAGCAGGTGTTTGCCAGCTCCTTAGAGGTTGCAGAGGAAAAGGCAGCAGGCCAGATATGGATACCTGGCTTGATCACCATGACTTACAGGAAACAAAGTAATGCTCTTGATAGGACATGATGCCAGGATATGAGAAAAATCCAATTGTTTCTCTATCTATTTCTCCAGAAAGCCCAGTCATTTTATGTGATAAATGTTATCTCTACAGAGGAGCACAGAGACACAAGAAGTGGGGGACAGTCCAAACAGTATGCCAAGAGAGGGCCATCAAGTCCCATCTCCACCAGCCTAGGGGAGTACAGAGACACAAAGGCAGGCACAACCCAAAGTAAGGACTTAGAAGAAAGGATAACCTGTGTGAGACCTTCCTAGAGCCATCCCAGGAGAACATCATTCTCGCTACTGGTTGAACCTGGGGGCACAGAGCTGCAGAAGCCTTGCCTCTCTCGGGCTGCTTAATCTGTCCTGATTCCCCTAACACACTCTCCTGTGCACTGACATGAGTTACCTGAGACATATCAGCCTCTTTTTCTTCTCCCTGAGGTTTGTCACCTTCAGCAACATCCTCCTGCTCAGTGGTGGCAGCTCCTGCTGCCACAGCTGCACTGTCTTCTGATGCCGCAGTCCTCTCACCAAAAGGTACCACCTAAAAACAACAGAAGGGAGGGACCTTTCAGGATACTACGAGTTACAGATACTTGCTGGAGAGAACATGGGCCAGCCTCTGCTCTGTGACCTTCCTGTGTGATGCTGACCTATGGTCTTGAGTTCACTGGTGAACTCAAGGTTTATGGAGAAGAGCAGTGCTGGGGACAAGCTTGTTCAGAAAAAACTGATTAAAAGGTGGGAGAGAGACATTTATGAAACCTCACCAGGCAACATTTAGCAGAGTCCTCAGGTGTTATGAGTGGAGTAACTGTCAAAGCTGTTTTCCTTCCCTTGTCTTCCAGTGGTATTGTGGAAAAAATTTACCACTGATTTCTGCAGAGGAGGAGGAGCTTGCAAACTGTCTAGGAGCCCACAGGACCCTGCTAATGGAATCTGTTCTTGGGAAGAGCCGTCAAGCCTTCTCTAGCTAGTCACCTACCTCACCACAGACCTTGCCTGGCATCAAAAATCTTGTAATCTTAGTTACACATTCCCTTCTAACAGAGAGACTTACAAATCAGGTCATGTCAGGAGAAGTAAATATATTCTCTGTCTGGGTAAGTATCAGAAAAAAAATAACCACAGAGATCTATAGTTATGTCAGCATAAAAAGATACATAAAAGCCTATTCAGTCTGGCTGTGACTGAATAATTTCTGATCAGTCTGTGTTGAGAAGTTACTGCATGATTTATTCCAACTCATGAAAAGTGCATAGAAAAGTACCTGCCTACTACTACATCAATGTTTAATCCTTCATTCAGCAGAAACTTTTACTTGTTGTTGTGTGTAACTCAAGAATTATTGTATTCCCTATCTATCTGCTCCCCAAATTGTTACTGTCTCTTAAGACCCTGCAGCTGGAAAAACTGGGGCAGGACGCTATCTGGGGCATTGTTACAGTCCGCTCTAGCAGGCAGGTTGTCTCCTTCTTGCTGTGTGGTTTTTCCTTTGCTAGCTGCTTGGTCTTTGCTTAAGCAGAGGCTTCTCCCTTTTTGGGTTCTCTTTTTGTATTTTGTCTTCTTACTTGTCTTGGAGAGACTGAAGTTGGAGGCTTTAAGCTGCCTCGGGATGAATTCCACAGGGGCCTATCTGCAGTCAAGGAATCACGCAAACAGTAGCGGAGCAGCCCTGGCTCTGACCCAGGCTGTTATCAGCTGTGAGTGGCCCCGGCCCAACTGCTTTGCCTGGTCCTGCCTGCCCTGCTGTCTCCTGCTGTGAGGAGGGTACTGACCCCAGAGGGGCTGTCGGGTCTTCATTCACCACTGGAATTGCTCCCTGAGCTCCTGCCTTCCTGGGAGAGACTGGACGCCATCTTGTCCCTTTGTCTTTCCCATGCAGTCGCCCATCGGGCGCTATCTCAGCAAAGGGTGTTTGCTGGCATTTTGGATCTCTCTTTGTTCTCACTAGTTCATAAGATTTAGCTATTTTGTATCTAGCAGTTATTTATTTTTAGCTTTTGCCTGTTGCTGTTTCATTTATTAGTAAACTGTTATTTTTCACTTGTAACTATCTACTCATATTCGTTCCTTAGTGGTGGAAAGGGACTGGTTGAACCTATAAAAGGAGGTAACTCATTCCCCAGTGCTCTCCTTTTAAACTGTCATAAACCAAGATGCTTGTAATTCATGCATCCCCCTAACACTTGCATTGCCATATACTGCTTACAGTAGCATATTGGGTATATACTTACAATGGATTAATCTTAAGGTTTGGACTGTTGAAGGTAAATGACAAAACTCATTGTTTTAAACTAATTAACTTCAAGACAGAATTTTTACCTTACAGCAGATGGCTTAAGGATAAAGAAAAAACACTGAAGGAAAACTCTTCTCGAGGTACTAATGTCAAGCCACATTTAGCAGTAATCTCTCTGATCTCCAGTGAATAGTTTGATGCTATTTATTTCCTCAGTTTGATTTTTCCCCTGTGGATGAAGCTAACTTCACTACCTGAACTCAGCAACTGTTCAAGGGCACTGTTCAGGCATTGTTTTTTAGCAACATTAAATATTCACCACTACTCCTATTTGCTGCTATTAATTGATGTGATAAAGAAATCCTCCTGGAATCCATGAAAACAGAAAATATTGTATGGATGTACAGGAATCACTGGGAAACTTTAAATTGAACCTGCTGCTGCTGAAGCATGCTCTACTGTAAGAGGAAATAACATCAACAGTGAAGGTCAGATGTTGACTTTTTCTCCTGTAAGACATGCAAGTCTGCCACTCATATAGTATTACCAATTTTAGAAGTCTTGATCCAAGAAGATACACAAATAAATGATGAATGTTAAAATCCTGGAAGAGGCTAGTAGGAAAGAGTGGGAATAGAGTGTACCTCAGATTGATTTGACATCATGCATTTCTAAAGCATGATGCCGAAACTGGTCTTGCTGTCTATTCTGATTAAGATCAACAACTTCTTTTCCGCTTATTGGATTTCTATAGACCATTTTATTTTACTAAGGAGGAGAATACTAATTTACTGAATCGGCTCACAAGTGAGCCCCACAGTGAAAGAGTGACACTCTCACAGAATGCAGTCATGAGTCACTAAATGTATACCACAGTTCACAATCACAATAATTTTTCTTGTGTCTTAGAGTACAAAACCATTAAAAGCTAGATGATTTTAAAAAGCTTTTATAAAAAGGTATATGAGGTAGGACAGAATGAACCTCACTATCAGCCTCAAATATCTGATTAGTACAGAAGTGAAAAAAAAAGGGCAGGAGGTTGAATTCATAACAAGCTGTGTTGAACCACATTCTTGCAGATACAGCTACTTGTATTACCTCATTTCACACTGAAAACCAATCCTACAAATCTCTTAGGCAGTCTAATAGTACTCCAAATTAGCTATCTCTAGCTGTCCAATTTTTAAATTATTGACATTTGGACAGCTGTCCCATTACACCAAGCACACAGGGGTGACTAGTGCACCACAACACAGGGGCAAAAGAAAGGATCATCCAGTATAATGAGGGGTGTGATAGAACCACTCAACTGTTTTAATTGCACAGATGTGAATTTTTCTTTAGTCAAGATGCAGCTTATCCACACAGTTCTACTCTCATTAACATTACTGTCAGCTCAACACAATGCCACAGATTCAGCAGTAGCAATAATGAGCCCAGGAAGAGGAGAAGGGGTACCAAGCCTGTTGCTGGGGTCTGCCAGAGGAGCTCCCTCAGATACACTCGTCTTCCAGAGGTAAAGTTCTTGCTCTGTGGCTGGATTTAGAACAGGAATGGGTAATTTTTATAACAGTTGGTTATAATCACAGCTAAGCTATTTAATGTCAAGAGAGACCAATCATCAAGCTTTAGGGAATTCATCAGTTGCAAAGTCTTGGAAAATTCTGAAGTAGTACTGAATAATTTGTTATGCAAATTACAGAGTATTGTCTCCGTCTCTCTGGGTGCCTC